TAGCCAGGATGGTCTCGATCTCCTGACCTCGTGATCCGCCCGTCTCGGCCTCCCAAAGTGCTGGGATTACAGGCTTGAGCCACCGCGCCCGGCCGAAAGAATAAATCTGATAAGAGGTACAGGAGAATCCCGAGACCTGGGACGCCCAGGGCAGATATGCCATCCTACACTGTGGTCTGGTGACCTAAAAACAACTCAGACACATATTTTTACAATTTTTTTAATATATATTTTTATAAACAGGTCACGTGATAAAATAGCACAAGAAACACTTACCAAATATAAGGTTATATCTTCCGCATATACAGGAGAATGAGGTCGTTATGTACAATAAGAAAATGATTTTAGGGGTTGGTTGGTTTTGTTTTCCTCTCTCCCCTTAATTTTTCCTCCTACAGTCGTTGGAAATATCACAGCTTCAGTTGCATTAATACTTTGGGCAAATGGACAGCTGCCCCTCCCCACTAGGGGTTGTGGGGAGGAGGGGCTGGAGAAACTGGCTCCTGACCACTCAGCCCTGGAGCTTCCTGGGGCTGGAAAATCTTTGGGCTGTTGATCTGTTTCTGATTCAACAGCATCTCTCTCTCTCTTTCTCTCTCTCTCTCTCACTCTTTCTCTCTCACTCTCTGGCTCTCTGGAAACTGGTTACTCTCTTCCAACCAGATAGGGAGTGTCCCAAGATTGGGTGTGGGCGCTGTATCTCCTGGGGCTCAAGGTTGGGATGGGAAGGGGCCCCAGCCCCCTCCTCAGCGACGGCTGAGGTTTGCCAGCATCCCCCAGGACCTCCAAATGTCTCGGGCCGACAGAGCACGGTCAGAGCCCATTTGGGCAGGCAGACGTTTGGGAAGCTGGGGAGGGGTGAAGTGGGGGGGAGGCCGGAAAGGAGCCCTCCCTCCTTGGGGCGTCTAGGGTGTGCTGGCCACTGGAAGATTGGAGTCGCTGACCCAGTGCTGACCCTGACCCTTGGCTGGGTCCACTCTGCAGACTCCACCTGAGGAGATCGCCCAGGGTGAAGCTCGGTGCCCAGGCCTGAACTGAGCCCGGCTGGGTGCAGGAGCTGAGGTGTGGGGTTGGCCCAGGCCTCTCCCCAGGCCTGAGGGTGGCTCCAGCTCGGAGGCTTGCAAGGTGCCTGTGCCACCCCTGGGTTGAGGCCGACCGGAGTCAGCTGGGATAATGTTAATGACTCCAAGTGATCGCCAGCCCTTCTGCCCTCTCCCTGCCCAATTCTGTCTCAGCCTGGCCAGGGACCAAGGCTGGGTTAGGGGGCCGACAGGGGGCTGCCCCACACAGCGGCAAGGAGGAAGGGAGGCCGCGTGGGTCAGGCTGGATGGGTGAGGAGGTGCGGGTGGGGCTTGGGCTCTCGGCGGCGGGCCATGGCTTTGGCGGTGGCCTGTTTCCCCTGACACCCCTCGGAGGGCTCCAGGCATGGTGCGGTGGAAGATGCAGGAAGCCCGTAGGGCTCTTCCGGGCCCCTGTGTCCTGGGGGACCCAGCCCCCTCAATTCCCCTGGGCCCTGCCCGGGATGGGGGGACAGTGGGGAGACAGAGCGGGTGTGGCGGGGAAGGCGGTAAGGACAGTCTGGAGAGCTCAAAGCGCCCCCCAAGGACCGAGCCCCGCCCCCCAA